TAGACTCGTTTAAAAATGTTGAAGTCACATAAGTATAAGGAAAGTCAAAGGATAAATATAGAGGAAAACGGTGAATGATACTGGAACAGAGTTCTGAATATCATTAAGATTCACTTTAAATGAGATGATGGTCTGTGATGCAGAGTTTAGAGAAATGCTTTTCCAGATGATGTCTCCATGTTCCTTCCTGTTTTTAAAAAAATGAACAGCTCTGTGTTGAAACACCTGCAGCTGAAGTGTTTCTTTCTTCACGAACAGGATGCTGGACGACTGCAGAGCTGTTAGCTTCATACCACAGACCACAAACACACAGTCCAGCTCACAGTGAACAACACTCAGTAAGCACAGAAGGAAAGACACATGAGTTTGCACATTTTAGTTAAGACAAATTAATTAATAATAAAAGTATGAACTGAAATATGTGATTTCAGGTTTTAATTAAATCAAATCACGACTTTGTTTTTTGACTGTAACACTAATCTACATTTTTACACTTCTGATCACATGCTCCATAATGTCCTCATAACCCATCATATCATCAATGATGATCTAAATATGATTCTACATTCATACTAAAGTCAGTCTAGTCATGGTCCAGGTGAGGGCTGGGTTTTTTCACAGTGCCATGGCATTCCTCACTGGCACCTCAGGCCATATGCCTCACTGAAGCTCCCTGAGTATATCTGAACGCGGCTTCTTAAGACCAGCGCTCACAATCAAACTTCGTCAGATCATCTGCAACCCTTTGTCAGTCTAGGCCGCCACAGTTATTACTTCTTGTCATAGTTTTTTGTGTATTTGACCTTTGTGCTTCTGCTCGCTGGAGACCTCTGGTTGTTGCTGAGTCGCTGCCATAACCTGCCTGGGTTCAATTGCTGGTCAGCTCAGTTTCCCACTCATGCTCACCTGCCTGCCTCCCTGTACACCTTGGACTGGCATCTGTAACTTCCAAGCTAACACCTGTTCCCCTCATTTTCAGTGACTCACACCTTTTCCCTCCATCCACGGAGTCACTCGCTGGTTGCGTTTCCAGCCCTACAAGTGACAACCAATCACTTTGTCTGACTGGCTGTTGCTGAAAGTTTGATATATTGATATGTTGATGACAGTGATCATCAGAACTTCTCCAACATCTTGATCTGATAAATATACCAAAATAAAATAATAAAATAATTAAATAGTTGTCAATAAATTGTTTATTTTTACACGGAACCACGACTCTGTCTGAAGTTTATAACTGGATATTCTCTTGATGAAATTCCCAGGGTGGCGTTGTCGGGTTTTCTGTTTCATTTTAAAACCTTTTGAGCTCCCAGTTTCCAAGGTGCCATTTTAGTGTTTGGTCATTGGTCCATTGCTATTTTCCTCATTATTCCCACGCCGCTCAAGCAGGAGAAGAGGGAGAAACTAATATTATGATATTTTAAATCTTTTCAAAGGTACATTATGTGAGGATATATTTAGAGATATCCTCACATAATGAAAAATATTATGAAAACACCGAACTACCTTCACTTTGTCTGATTGGCTGTTGCTGACAAGTTGATACGTTGATGACACTGCACATGATGTCAGTGATGATGTCATCTTCTCCAACATCTTGATCTGATTAAAATGAACCAAATTAAACAATAATACAAATTAAATATCTAAAACAGATTAATTCTAGGAACATTGTTACTGTGATCATGATGAATATGAACGTTGTTCTAATAAACCTCAGACATGAAAAATTATACTTTATACATTTTAATTTAATTTATTTTAATTATACTATAAATCAACAAGTCTGAGTCTCACCTTCAGGTTTCCTGTGAACACACGTCTCACCAGCAGAACCAGTAACACCAGTAGAGCCACAACACAGACTGATCCAACAAATGACAACACAGAGAGAACAGGAGGAGAGAGTGATGGAGAGAATGATGGAGGTGATGGAGGTGGGATGTAGTGATGGAGAGTGAGTGGGATGTAGGTGGGTGTGGATTTGGAGAGGGTTGGTCCCCTAAAATAAAGCAAACACAGTCATTAAGTTGTCGTCACATTGTGAATGTTGAAAGCTGCAGAAACACAGACAGGTGAGTGTGTCACCTGTGACAGTGATCCAGCTGGATGGAGACTCTCCATGACCGCTGATGTCACACTTGTAGAGGCCTTCATCAGACCTGGAAACATGCTGGATGGTCATGTGACCTGTAGGCTGCTTCCTGATGAGGGAGCCATCTTTATAGAAAGCAGCTGGGAGGTTGGAGGGAGTGGTCTTTGTTTTACAGAGCAGAGTGACGTCATCTCCCTCCATCACAGGGAGGACAGGACTCTGCAGGATCACTGATCCACCTCAACACAGAGACAAACTACAGCATTTCATCCATTTACACACAGCTTCATCAACACTAACTCCACACACTCAGCTTACCAGTGACTGTCAGGTTAACCATGTTACTGATGGGACCCTCTCTGGACTCACACCAGTAAACTCCACTGTCCCATGGGAAAACAGTGATGTCACATGAAGAACCAGACCATCTTCCCCACCCATCTCCACACTGAGTGATCTTATTTTTGGTCCTCAGAGTCCATCCAGCAGAGCTGTCGTCCTCCTCACAGCTCAGAGACACAAAGTCTTCTTCAAAGAACTGAGAGCTGCTGGGACTCACAGTCAGACGAGCTGTGAGGGTTACAATGAAAAATCAATGATTTCTTGTCTACCTTTTCTTTAATCCTTTATTTCTTCAGTTTTATATGTGAGCTTCATTGTGAAACATGAACCCAATCAGGTCATATCAGTGAGCATTTCTCAGGTTTAAACTGTGACAGAAGAAGGTTACTGACCTTGGTTTGTTGTGCAGCTCAGCAGTGAGATCAGAGCTAAAGAGAAATGACACTCAGGTTGATATGAAGTCAACATAAAGAACAAACAGCTGGCAAACACACAAACTTGTCTCTCTCTGATATACATGTGGCTTGCAAAAGTAAGTTCGGCCCTCTTGAACTTTTCCTCATTTTGTCACAGGAGGCTCTCTGTGTATCCCAGGCCAACATGAAGAAACGGTTTGCAGTGGAAAGACAATTTCAGCCTGTGGTCAAAGTTCTTGTGTTGCTGCCTAATTCTGCCCTCATGGCTCGTTTCTTAGGACCCTATGTAATAGTGAAGAAAATGTCTGACACCAACTAACATGCTGAAACCACACCATACCAGAGACCGCTGGGACAGGCTGTCCACGGTTCTGTCCCTGCTGAAGTGTAGAGGTCATACAAGTGTAGAGGTGTATATATATCTGATATATACACCTCTACACTTGTATTGTACACACATTGTATTGTATACACTGTAATGTGTGTATATATATACATATATATACACACATACTACAGTGGCTTGCAAAAGTATTCGGCCCCCTTGAACTTTCCCACATTTTGTCACATTACAGCCACAAACATGAATCAATTTTATTGGAATTCCACGTGAAAGACCAACACAAAGTGGTGCACACGTGAGAAGTGGAACGAAAATCATACATGATTCCAAACATTTTTTACAAATAAATAATGAAAAGTGGGGTGTGCGTAATTATTCAGTCCCCTGAGTCAAATATTTTTTCTTGTATTAACAAGTTTTTAACCGCAAAAACCCACCAATAACCACACCCCGTGGCAAATATTAGTACAAGGAGTTACTAAATATGACATATATTACAGTATCACTGTGAGATAAAAAATCATGAATACTATTGTAAAATTATCGATATAAAATATATTTGTAATAAAATAAACTCAATATTGTACATAACCTTTGATAAGAGTCATCTAGTCTTACAGGTCACACCGTAGCTGGTATTGCCTTCTATGCAATCTCGAGGTGATTTGGCTCGAGCACCACTTCTCCCGCCACAGATTTTCATGGTACTAGACGGACCATAGGATTTCATGCTTTAGGCATCTTTGTGCCGCGTGTGTTGTCTTGTCATGTGAAACAGCCTCGTTTATCTTCAATTCCGATGATTCCAAAATCCACGATACAGGCCCCATTCATTTGTTTACACGTCATCGTCTGTGAGAAAAACACCAAGAATTCACATCTTACAGTAGGTTTTCTGATGAATCAGTATCTCTCCTCCAACACAAGTTAGTTACAAAGACTTTGGTCTTGCATGAATCTCCCATCCCGCTCCATGGCTTCTGAAACTCAGACTGGAATACTCTAAGCACGTCGGACTGCGGATATCCCTTGAGTTGTCATTACCTTACTTGGCCACTCTCTGAGCATTCCGGTCCCGTGTCTGATCGTACGTTCATGATCATTCCACGGGTATTCTAGCCCAATCAGGAATTTCTGGTCTGTATGTCTCCATTGATGATTTCCCAAGTGTTCCAAGTGTTCATGTAGTCACTTTCATCTGGCAGTCTCAATCTTCCTGCTCAAGCTCTTGTCTGGCTGGGATTGGCACTGTTTGAGCTGGGAGTGTCTTTAAAGAGGAGAAAGTGCTTCACGGTAAGTGGGGACAGAAATTGAGCGTTCTCTTAGACCAGAGATTCCTTGAGTGACCAATTTTTTACCGATTGATTCTTACCACCATGACGGTTTTTCTGCCTCCATTGAAGGCCCGTGCAATGACTTGTCATATTTAGTGGGGCTGACATCGGTGGTGACTATATTTGCCACTAAATTTAGATTCTATTTTTTTTAAATTTAAAGTCAAAGATTATGACCAAGTGACTTTATGCTCCCTATCCAATCAGCATTCATTCACACAGAGATTCTACTTACAGAGCAGACACAGCACAGATGTTTCCTTCATCGTCCTTCTCACTCATTTGAGCTTTTTTTCATTTCTGTCACTGACACCAAGTAAAGCCCGCCCTCTTCCTCTGAGTCACCAGCTTTCTATTGGTTCAAACACAGAGGAGGTATTTAACTTTTGTCTTTGTCTAAAGAAGTGAACTAAATCAAATTATTCAAATTATTCAAATACTCTACATCAGTGAGTAACCTGAAGGTAGATAGGCACAGTATTTTTCCCTAAACACTGTGGCTTAAAGCTGTCACGCAAACACACAAGACCAGGAAATCATGAGAGTGAAGAGCTAAAAACATGTTTAAGAAATAATCTGATTATGTCTCATATCTGTGAACGTTAATCCTCCAACATTGTGTATATATGACCACTAGAGGGACGAAGCTTGGACTTTAAAGTAAACTACATGGAATAACAGATCATCAATTGAGTTCTTCAAGTTTGTTAGTAATAATAATAAATAAACTCAGCACCTTCTTTCTTAATGAAATGGCCTTATTTTATTTGAAATCTAATACAGATTACCTTCATTTGTTATGTGACTGTAGGTGTCTTATTTGTGTATAAGTCAACATGGAGAGAAACAAACTGTGTTCCTCCAGGCTGTGAAACCTTGAAACTGATGAAGGTGAAAACAAAAACCTTGATTTAGTTTAGTTTAATCTTTAAACCTTTACAGCCACAGAAAACAAACGATTAAAGACTGAATTCAAGAAAAAAACATTCAGTACTGCTGTTTGCAAAACTTTATTAGCAATAACCAAAGTTACAGAGACAATAAATTAATAATATGTGACCTGGACTTGAAATGTTGATACTGCAGTAACAGACTGAAGCGTCTCCTTCATGGAAGGAAAAGTTCAAAGCTTCACAGATCAGAGAGGAAACCTCTGACTCTGCAGCTACATGGAAATAATTACCTTCACTTTGGTTTCATAACACTGTCCATCATAACATTTATTCAGCTGTAGCTGAAGATTATTGATCGTCTATAATCGACAGTAATTCGTCTTTTCTTCATCACACACAGTGTTTGTGTTGTCAGTCGGTTCAGTATGTGTGACAGTAATTATACTGTAACAGCTGATCTCTACATGAGGATTAATTTGTGTTTCGAATCTCACAGAAAAAGTTTGATCTTACAGCCGAACCTGAAGTTATTCTGATACTGCAACATACGAGACACTGAACTCATAAATACTGTGTAAAATCAAACTGTGAACAACATGAGATCTTTTGTTTGAAATTAGTTCACTCTGAAATATTTGTGTGGAGAAACACAAAAAAGCATCTCTAAATTTTGTTTGATGTGTTTTGGTTGATAATAGGAACTCCCAGATGTTCATCATATAAGTGAGGAAGAAATATAAAGAACTTTTCAAAGAATTTGCTTTGAACTTTTACACTGAGATGAACAGCTAACCTGGAAAGCTGAATAAATAGAGCCACTGTTTCTAATGTTGGACTGTAATATAGTAAATTGAAGGTGATATAATAGTCTAATGAGGTTTGATAATAATCAGAGAAATGCAAAATCAAAATGAAATCTAGACATATTTGTCATCTGACAGAGTAAAATTGAGCATCCTCTGTTGGTGTTTGTTAGGATAATTATTGATTTTCAAAGAAAACATTGAAAATTCTCAAATTTGAACAGCAGAAACTGACAGACTGACAATCAGTCCAACAGATACAGCCTCTGTGCGTCCTCCTGCCTCCTTCCTTTTTTTAACAATTCAGTTATAAAACACCTTTCTGATGTTTTCTATAGATAAGAAAAACAACAACAACAACAAAAAGAAGAAAAACAGCAACTGGAAGACCAACTTTCAGTCCAACAGATCCATCCTCTTCCCTCCATCCTCTGTGTCTCCTCCTGTCTGACCTGCAGGTGAGAAACAGGTGTGAGGTGTCAGCTGTCAGGTAGGTGATGAGTGAAGAACAGAACAGAATCCATTTCCTCTTCAAACTGCTGTCAGACATTATCTACTGCACTCTGATCACATCACTCAGACCAGCTGCTTTCTACAAAGTCTCATCAACAACATCTTTAGAAACAAACATCAACAACCAGGAAGCAGCTTCACCTCTGATCACACACACACTCAACTCTACTCACTCACCTGGAGGATCAACAACTCTCAGTGTGATGCTGAGGGCATTTTTTGTTCCACCCATGAGGACACGACACTCGTATGTTCCACTATCAGCAGTCGTCACATCCTTCAGAATCAAAGACACGTCTCCATCCTTCATCTGTCTGTCCTGCAGATCCACCCGGTTCATAAAAGATGGATGCTGGTTGGCTGGATCAAAGTGTCCATCTCGGTACAAAAGGACATATTTTTCCAGGCCAGTTTTGCTCCACTTTACAAGCTGATGTTGTTGTTGTTTGGAGCTCGACATGGAGATGACGTTCTGTCCAGACTCAGCTGTGATGTTTCTTCTGAAAGAGGAAACAACACAGAGCAGAGAGGTTAAACGTCAAAGTACAAATGTTAGCTTCTATAGCAACCAGACAAACAGACAATGCACTTGCTCGAAATCCTTCTTGTAGCAGTGCTTGCACCTGGAATCCAATACCTTTGCCACAACTTGGACAGCACGTGGTTACGTCCACCATGCCTTGTTTTCTGATGTACATGTTGAAGCACAGGGTCAGTAAATTGAAGATCCCTAGCTATAATAGCAGGATGCCTTGCCTCCTCAGGTATAGCTGCTCTACTGAGCCTACTTCCAACTTGTGACACACAATCCTCAAAGCTCATAGAGATTGCTGCTCTTCTTCTTCACCCTCTCATTCTCATCTATGTATTCATTTGCCTCAACAGCATTAACTAAAATTGCCATTTTAATCTCTGGATCATTTGAAGAGACCTTTCCACTGTCAGGCTTCACTGAACAAAGACACTTTGGTCCTTTAAACCAGGAATCAGCCTTCAGAAAAGATTGTACCTCGACTCCCCTAGAAGCCAGATCAGCAGGATAACATGATGTACTAACATATTTCCACTGAGAAGGTTTGGACATTTTAAGCATCGCTGCCATCTGGTGTGCTACAAATATTTAAAACTTTGAGGTTTCATTTGTGATATATTACAATACAGAGGTGTTATCAGTTCAAAAACTGATTCCTGCAACTGCATTTGCAGCTCTTTTCTCCACATCTTATCCATTCTACTCGCAACCAATGCAGCTGTCAATTCCATGCAAAGTTTGTTTCAGTGGAGCCACCAATGCTTTGCCCATTATAAATGCACAATGGACCTGATTTTGGGTGACTGTGCCAAAACCATTCTCACTTGCATCTGCGACTGAGCAGAAGCAACCTCTCTGAAGTTAGAAGATTTAAAAGCAGAAGTCGACTTTAAAATCTGCAAGAATGCAAAGATCATTCACCCAAACCGTCAATTCTTGTACAACAGTAACTGGCAACACATAATCCCACACCTAAAGATTTCTGCATAGTTTCTGAAGGATTAACTTAGCAGATAATATTAAATGCTAAAAAAAAAACCCAAAGGGTTATAGATAAACCTCACAAGAGACAACATCCCTCTCTATGTGAGGGCTTTGTTTGTCTTGTACTTGAATGTATCCAGCTGGATACACCACTGCACACCTAGTGCTCTCTCTACTGGCAAGACGTCCCTAGTCAAATCAAAATCCTTAACTTCCTTGGATTGTTGTTGCACAGATATGGCAGCAAGTACCAATTTCATTTGGTGAGCTTAATGCCTCCTTTAGCACAAAGAGCAACAAGTTCTTGATGGAGCAACACTGCCCCCTCTTTAAAACCGAGGCAATCATCCCAACAACACACTGCAAAAGAGAAACCTGGCTCTGTTCCTATTTTCTAGGTCAATACTGAGTAATACAATATATTATGTCAATGGTTTTATCATGTTTTGGTGCTATGTACAAATAAAACTGATTTGAACAAAACTAATTATCTTTGAAATTGTTCAAAATCGTTCAAAGTTATCTACTTGAAGGTGCACGTTTGAAAGTTGGACCAGGGAGTCAAACCTCTCTGATATGATTCGGGGTTTCAGAAAAACTAAAAAAAAGCTCTGCTAGTGTTACAGATCATATTCACCATTGGTTGTTAGTGTCAGTGGTTGTGTGTGGAGGCAAGGAAGTGACCCAAACGCAGGACTCGTGGATAGTGAAGAGCTGAAGATGGTTTATTATGAATCGTGGATGAACAGGGCAGGAAGAAAGGGCTGGCTGACTAACTGAACATACATACGGAGAGACGACATAACATCAATGACACGACAAAGAACTGGTGAAACCGAGGAACTTAAATACACAGGTTGAATGATGACAATGATTGGAAACAGGTGAGTACAGGGCTGAACATAATCTGACTAATGACACGGGAGACAAGCTGACACGGGAAAAAACAGGAAGTGAGAACATTAATGTGGCGAACTAAACTGAACATGAACAAACTGAAATCACTGGGTCAACGACCCAGGAACCCTGACAGGTACAGTACAGTTTATGACAAATGCAATAATCACTGCAAAACATTAATTAATAAATCGATCTGTGTTTCAGTGGAGCTGAGGGTCTGTTGATCTTTTCTGTTTTCTGTTGGGCCTCAGAAACTACCACACCAAATTACAAATTACCAAGTGCAGAAACAAGATGGGGTGGAATATGATCAGAGCCATTTACGTGATAAACATGTTGTTTATTTTTCGTTGACATTTAGATTTATTTTTTTGTTGTTGTTGTTGTTGTTGTTGTTGTTGTTGTGTGTGTTGTTGTTTTTTTAAATTCTGTAATAATACTATTATATATGTAATGTTAACTGTGTTACTGTTTGTTCCATGACTTTGTATGGATTATTTTTCATAATCCTCATTATTAATGTGAGTGGGTGTTCTGTAGCTACAGCTGTTTGTATACACTGAACACAAAGCTTTGTAGCTGTATACTGACTCCTGAAACTACAACACATCACACTGACACACACATTACACTTCTTTGTCTCTGTCACAGGGCTGGATGTAATGAAATGTTCTTAGAGTGGCATGAAATCAAATGGGCAAAATCAAAGTCATTTCTTTACACATATGCAGCTTTTACATTGTGTAATATGCCTTAAAATGTAACCAATGGTTCTGACTTTTTTGTACAACCATTTAAAATTCAGGAGCAGATCTACAGATGTGGCATGGAGTGGCATGTGCCACCCTTAATAAACATTGTCATTTACAACACTATGGTGGCACTCGGTGTGGCAAGAGATTATATCAGGGTGACACATGCCACATCTGTAGATCTGCTCCTGGCGGTATACTGACTCCTGAAACTACAACACATCACACTGACACACACATTACACTTCTTTGTCTCTGTGGGCTCTGATCACACCGACATGTTAGGTCCACACAGACTCCACCCAGCCTCGTGTCTCCTTCACAAACACGGAAAAACTGAATCAATATGAAAATAACTCTTCAGGAAATGTTGTTAACATGTAAACAGACTGATGCTTTTCCTCTCTGTCCCACAGAGTGATTCTCATTAAAAGCATTTGAAACTTTGAAGTACTTGTAATTCTATTTCAATAATCACTGAAACAACTGACACAAAGATCTAAAAACACTGAAGCAGCACGCTTTGTGAAAACTAATATTTGTGTCATTCTCAAAACTTTTGGCCACGACTGTACTCAGCACTCAGAGAGCCCCCTCTGTGTGACTCAGTGTTTTATTATTAGTTTTACTGGTCTGTAGTTTCTTCTTGGTTACTAGTGTTTTGGTTTCTGTATTGCTTGTTCTTAGGTTTTGGTCTCTCCTCATCTTACTCTGTCTGTACTCTGTCTCTGAGTTCTGTCAGTGTATTTCCTGTTTTACTTTGAAGGTCCGTATCTGATGTTAGTGCATCCAGTTTATATCCTCCCTGTCTCATCATATTCGTTAAGTTCAGCTGTGTCTCTTCTGTGTGCAGTTTCTTCGTTTCCCTCTGTGTTTATTTATAGTGTGTGTTTCCTCCGCATGTCTTCCTGTGTTTCTCCATGCATGTCATCCCATGAGTTTAGGTTTCAGTTTACTTTGTTAGATTCTCCCCAGTTTACATTTATCTTAGTTTCGGTCCTCCAACCTCTGCTCAGCCTGTTTTCTCACCATTTTGTAAATAAAGCTCACTCTCATCATCTGCGTTTGGGCACTTTTCCCTTCAACCCTACAAGACTGTCATCGCAGCTGTGACAGGCGCACTCGTGTAATTGAAGGAAGGACGAATGGAAAAATGACATTCTTGATAAACATCTGTTGCCATCTACCAGAGTGATGAAGATGAAGCGAGGGTCAACAGAGTCAAGCAAGACAACGATTGCAAAAACACACCCAAGGAAACTCAGCTGGTTTCACAAAAACGACATAAAGCTGCTAGAATGGTCGAGCCAATCACCTGAATCCAACTGAAAAATTATGGAAAGAATCCCAAAAGGTTGATTGTGTTCATCTGGACATAATGTTTTCAGTGGGGGAAACTTTTTGTAACTCGTTCAAGTGATTTCTTCAGTCTCAGCTGACTGCAGGTTTATAAACACTATATTTGCATAATGAGTGAAACTAGCACCACTGAAGGAACAATGGGCTGGGAGGTCAGCTCCTTGATCATTAATATGCAAATTCTCATGACCATTGATCAACAACCACTGATCAATGCCTATGAGTACCATTCACAGAGAGTTGGGGAATGGCTGCAATCACAGCATTGTAAGATGGTGAAAGATGTACCATCCGCTGGGAGATGTTGTGCATCCGCTTCACCAGAGGTTGTTTGGTTTCCCCGATGTATAAATCCTGGCAATCCTCCTGGCACTTAACAGCGTACACTATATTACTCTGTTGGTGTCGGGGGCCCGATCCTTGGGTTGGACCAGTTTTTGGTGCAGCATGTTTTGGGGTTTAAAAGCCGGACCCGGTGTTTAGAGATAGAGTATTAGTTACAAAAGGTTGAATGTAGGATAAGAATTATTGAGCATTATTGTTTTTATATGCAGTTTCTTAAGTACAGGTGTTATAAAAGCTGATTTGAAAGGTAAGGGGAAACTGAATGATAGCCGTTATTATGGTGAACAGAGGGCAAGTAAGTTTTAAGTCAAACTGACGAGTGGATTACTTGAATTTTTGAATAAGGAATTGTAGAAACAGCAAAAAGTTTCAGAGTTGAAAGTATGTTAGTGAACGGGTCTGAGGGAAGTGGTGAAGGCAAAGTGTAGCAGGTGTTAGTGGTTAGATGAAACTTGTCAACTTTAGTGTTTAAAATTTACACTGATATATTAAATGATAAATTGAACAGGATTACAGATGAGACGACAGAAGAAGGTTACTGACCTTGGTTTG